TTATATAGCGAACGGTTGCTTGGAATTCCCTGCCTGCAGCCTTGTTCCCTGAACGCTATAACTTGGGCCTTTTAAGGGCGAGAGCGAATAGGCATTATTATTCATAGTAGACCTCATCGTCCCTTGCCATCAAGTGAGATGGAGGTCAAATGCGCACTTAGTTTTTAATGAAAAAAATGGCGGCAACGATTTTCTGTCTTAGTGTTGCAATTTAAAGAAATTGCAATTGCCAATTCGTGAAAGTAGTACTGATCTGGAAAGAGAGAATATAACGTCATCTAGCAGTCTTTCGACTAATATAACGCAAAAGAGTTAAAACAAAACTGTCGTATTGAGTTAAAGCGGCTATTATGATGTGCCGCGAAGCGTGCCGGCCCCTTTTCAGTGGACCGAGACGAACCAAAAACCCTCTTAGTGCAAATTTAGATACCGATACGGGTTCCGTCAAGCACTATTCTATAGAAATGCTGGATATAGAACGGGACCCTGTAAAAGTCTTTTTTTTTTGTAAGTGAAAGGGCTGCCGTGATATTGATTACAATAACGTCTGCTTAAAGGTAAAACGACAAAATATTTGTCTGTTGAATATGTGTATGTTTAATGATATTTCAGCTATGCATCGGTAGGGTAAGTCGAACATGTTAACTAATTTTAACTGTTTTTAAAATAGAATTTTGTGCTCTATTACTTTCTATTCAAAACGGACATTTCACTATTTGTCACTTAGCCACGTTTAGTTAGTGGACGGCAGATATGTGACATTTTCCACAAAAAAATTATGTACCAGTTTTAAGAAATTCACCATCTTCCTACAGATAAAAATTATTAAGTTTATTTACTTTCTTGTTTCCTATTTTTAAGTTTTTAGCTACATTCTAACAGGGTATAATTCATTTAGTACTTCTACATGTTTGATAAAAACTGAAATACTGACGGAAATTAAACTATTACTCTACTATTATTAGGGACTAGACGTAGACTGGGGCGTGGACACACGAAGACTGCCCGCGTCGAAGGCGTTACTTATTTCACAGGAATTGTTTCAGACTAACGTCTAACGGGGGCAGACCCCCAGAATAGGCTTAATACGACAAGTGTGGTAAAACATAATCGCTTCAAGCCGATTCTGTATCAATAAAAGTGGTTAAGCCCCATAAACGTATAAAAATGTACAAAAATACCTGGAAATTTGTATAAGAGGTGTTTTTTGCGAATATAAAGTAATCTACAAAAGGTATTTTTTATCACGACCACTAGCGAAAATACGAGCGCCATTTTTATTATTGTCCTACATCGAAACTTGAAGATGATTTTTTTCAAATATAAGTACATTTTGCTTTCACTTTGCACGTGTCACAAGGAATATAGCGCTGGGGAAATAGAGATCGAGAACTGTTGGCGCTATTTTTAAGATTGTCTTAATAAAAATACCATTTATTGTACAAAGGTCAAACATCGTACGTATCTTAGAAATGACGTCAATACGATGAGTGTAAAATCCTTCGACGCTTTATTGACGTCTAATTCTACCTTTTTCCTATACTAATTCTTTATTACACCTACCTCTCACTTTTTTCTGATATGAAGTAAATACGTCGATAGAATGATTCTTTACAATACTCTAAACCTTTTTGAAAAGTTTTATTTAATTGTTATAATTATTAATGCAAATATCGAATACAAAAAACTTCACTCCATTCGCTTTGGACTAGAAAGCGCTGCCTTCACCATATCGTAGTTGGCGCTGTCCCAATTGAGCTACGGAACGAACCAGCAATCCATATGAATTTTTATGTGTGCTTGTTGCAGATCTTTGTTTTTGTGGCGCTGGGTGGACGGTTACGAGTTTTGTTTACATTCACTTCAGCCGCCGTTTCATCCACGTGTCCTAATGGTGAGAAGTATCACGCCTGAATCACTTCCTATTGTAATTGCATTCCGTATTATTTTGTGTACTTGCATGGCCGATTGAATTATATTAGACAAATTGGATATAAACATATATTTTAGAAGTTGTATTTGTATTGTGGAGGGCGGGGACGAGCCAGACGAACAGGGTTCAGCTTCACCTACTCTCCCTGGTTCTAAATCCGACATATATAAAAGTTTTTCTTCTTCGAATGACATTTCGAATCGACAGATGTTTAATGTAATAATTTAACAAAAAATAATTAAACGTTATGGTAGTAAACATCGTGTTATTCAATGAACTTAATATTTCATGTAATTTGTCTTTTCTATTATACTAATTCACTCTCAACACTAACATTGAGTTTTACGTTGCAGAGCATTTGTATAGTGTTATAATTGTATCGTAAAGACAAAAAAGGCATTTTCGTTGCGAGTGTATTTAAATATACTTTTGAAAGGTTATTTTTATATCGAGTTCTTAGGTTTTCGCGATTGTCACACATTGCAAATAAAAGTTCTTTTTTCAGATATATTCGCTTTCTTCAAACAAACATTTCGGGCTCTCTACAGCCGTAGCCATGGAACTTGTATTATGCAACATATACCAATCTGAAGCGTCTTTTTTTTAATTTTACAATTCCTGTCTCCGAAGCTGAATGATTACCATGCAGGCCTGACACGCAGAGGTCCCTGTCTCAATTCCTGGGTCGGGAGAAATATTTAAGTGGTATGCATTTATTTATCTCGTAGGTTTAGGTGTAATTTGTGGTTGTCTATGCGTGTATCCATGGCATCTGCGATACAGGGTTTCGGAGAAAAAAATCGTAGTCTTTGTTCAAATAAAGGGCTGCAAATTTTTTTTATGTTACCAATTGACGGGATGTATAAGTCGTGCGCCTGGTGGTAAGTGACGCGCCTATAAGCAGTTACAGTAACACTCAGAGCTTGAAATCGCGAAGATCTGATTAGCATTGCTCCTGCACCCGTTACCCTGAGACATAAGTAAACAACAAAAGTAGACAAGTCCCATGTGCCTGTAATTTCACCAGTATCCCTTAAATGCTCACATTACTGCTTGGCGGCAGAAATTGGTTGGTACTTCTCTGGACGAACTCTTTCACAAGGAGTTCTACTGCTACTAAATGTTTTCAGTATATAAATGCGTACCAACTAGAATATTCTAGGACTTTTCCTAACATTGCATAATATTGCGTACTTTACTAGCTATAGATCTTGCATATCGAAATGACTGCTTTCGATGTTATTCTAATCATTCAAAGAGAACCCTAAACAGCTCAAATTACTTCACGAGAAACGGTTAATTTGTTACAGTCTTGTTTTATTTAACATGGTATAAGGAGCACCTCAAGCTTGTCCTTAAGATTTAAATTCAACTCTATGGCGCTTGCAATAACAACTGTTCAAAGTCCAAAGTATCAAACTTGACGTGCTTTTGACTATTTCTACAGATAACAGATTACCCTTTGGAAGCCACTTTCATGCGATGACCGTGAAGATTATATTTTATAAACTGATATTAGTTTTTGTTATTTTATTACTAATAAAACATCGTTATCGTAAGTAATCTTAAAAGTTAACATACGTTGAATGTAATTTGCTTCTAGGAGCTGCCAATATATTGCGTAGTAACAAGTTCTTTGCACCATGCGTAAATAGGATTTTAGGATTGGAGACATTTTTGAAATGAAGATGATGCTAAAATTTCAAGAGAATTCTCTCGATAAGGAAAGTACTGTGATTATAGATAGAGATCACGAAAAAAGATTACACGCCCACACACGTACCCAAATACTTTCCCACGCACGTAGGAATTCAAAACGTTCGGATTTAAGGTTACAGGAACATAAATAACATTTTTACGAATTTACTTTATGAAATTTATCATGATATGATAAAAAAATTAGTAACAATTGTGAATTATTAGAAAAATAGAACAAAAACGATTACTTATATTTTCCCAAACAGTAACATGTAAATTACAATTAGCCGAGTTAGATAATTTCGCGATAAAACGTTTTATAGATCGATTATTCTACTCTGAATTTGAAAAGATTAGAACGTAATTAATAAGTGAGTACCCAGTACTTAAAACCAAGAACTATATTGTTCAATAAAAGGCGAAAATAATATTTTTTATTCATTGAAAACAAAGCTCGTTAAACTTACAAATAATTTGGAAGAGAGAGACATAACCGCCGGTGTTGACTACTACAAAAAATTACCGGTGTTGCTATATTAATATTTAAAAATATTTACTATTTATGCTACATTATCATGAAATTTTATTACTTAAAAAAGTAAAACTAAAAAGTTTGCTTCTGTATTGACCATATATAATAAAATATCATTAGAAACAATTTCATCTTTCTTTCTCATTTTTTTCATTGTCACGTGGTAAACCAATCGCTGTTACGAAAATGACCACTCAAAATGTTATCTACACAATTAATCACTACATGGCCCTTCAAATAGGAGAGAAGTATTCTATTAAGCTACCTTAAATGGCATGAACATAGTACAAGAAAAAGATAAACGCACTATTCGACCAAGAAAACGAACTCAATAAGCAATTCGAACAAGTAAATGAAAAATTTACGTTTTCATGTAGTACAAGTCATTGCCACCAAATCAAATATCAAATAGTCCAATACAATCCGAATCCGAATCTCATCCAAATTGTCTCGTTATAGCACAGGATAATGGTGGCAACATCGGCAGACTAAAACAAAAAGAGACTGAAGCGATGGCTTCCTTGCTCTTAAACGCCAAAAATTTCTCCAAAAATTAACTTGCTGCCTGACGATTAATCGTAGATGTAAAAAAATGTAAAACAAGACTTTGAAAACTATAGAAGGAGAATAACCAGGGCACAGTACTTAAAAGCAAGAGGTGTAATATCAAGTTCTTAGATTTTCACGATTGTTACACATAGGAAATGAAACTATTTTTCCGGATTTAAATCGCGTATATATTTGTTTTTTCAAACAAACCGACGTTTCGGGCCCTTTACATAATAGTTTCATTTCCTAAGAGGTGTAATAGTAAAACATAAATATTAAACTACTTACAATGTGATGGCAACCAGGAATAACACAAGGATGTTTCATTATTCTGAAATTTCACGTAAAATTAGAAACTTAATCTTTTATATCTAACAACATGGCACTTCATGGTGCTGCGCTCTACTTTAATTTTAGACGAATTTTAATCACTGATACGGGGGACGTGCCAACGTATGGTTTGAAAGGAAAGCGATAGCGATTTGACCCAAATATAGTATGCTAACGAAAAAACAATGTTTTTTGCACAAATGTTAATACACCTGTACGAATCCACAATCTACAGTCTTATCTATTTAACCTTAAATAAATTCGATAGAGAGATATATTCGTAAAAGACAAATATAGTATTGGATTTCTTTCTGTCTGACTGAGTTATTGGACAAATTTTTGATAGACATGATACGGGTGTTATATCTCAGCAGCGAAGGTCAAACCAGACATAGGTGGTCTCCAGTGTCCTTGCTCACAGTGCAATGTAAGGCTGAGTTCTGAAAGAAGGGTGTATTTATTTAAAAAAAAAACAGTTCAACTATAATGGAGATAACATTCAGAGCTGGTTGTAAAAGTGGAGGTTTTGAAACAACTCAACAGGACTCTCTCAGGCTGGCAACGCATAGGCAGGTCCTGTAATGTTGCAGATGTCCAGGATCATTGCCATCTCGCATCAAGTAGCTTGTTTGTTCTTTTGGGTCTTACTTTTCATAAAAAATTTAAAAAAAAGAAGAGTTCGTCCAGGAATACAGTAATGTCAGCTACTACTGTGTTCTGGTTTTGAAGGGTAAGGGTGCTGGTGAAATTACAGGCACATGGGACTTGTCAACTTACGTCTCAGGGTGACGGGCGCAGTGGCAGTGCCCATCAGATCTTTGTGATTTAAAGTTCTGAGTGGCAATGCAACTGTCATGGACGGGTGTGTAGCTTACCATCAGACGCACGACCTGTTCGTCCCGTCATTTTTATTATAAAAAAAGACAGTGCTCACCTGCTAGTCATACGAGTGAATCCGTTTGGTTGAAACATCTTGTTGGATAGATTAGTCATTCTACGCACTGCAAGAAGTGATAGAAATAAACAAAATATAATCGACGCAGAGGCTACAAAATAACGTATGTAACTGAAACTTATTTTCAGGAAAATATTATTAGAAAATGTTTTTAAGGTCAAAGAAAGCATTACGACGTCATTTGCATGGCCAAGTAGATTCACTAAACTCTTTGAAAGCCTGTTGTTAATGATCAGATCTGTTGAATACATTATCGAACTTTCAAGGGCATTACCACTTGAGACATTGAAAAAAAATTGAATTGTTTATTGTTTTGAATATTTTAAATTTAAAATATTTATATACCACTTAAAACCCGAAAGCCCAGATATTTTATCTTTAATATCTAACAAATTAAAATAAACTGAAAGAGGCTATAAAACATGTTAATTAAAATCATCTCCCTATAAATTTGTATTAAAATACTAAACATTGTAATCAAAACGAGGTTCTAGAATCTTTAGACTTTTTAGATTGTTTCTGAAAGTGACCTTGGGTTGGGTTAAAAATTCCAAAATTTTGGACGTTTGAAATGGAGTTTACAATTGGTTTTCACGATAATATTGTACGGAATGAGCAAGTCATACGCCTAGTGCTAATTGAAACGTCTACCCATAACATTTTTTTTATGATATCAAGTGACGAGACAAACAAGTAGTGCGCCTGATGGTAAGCGCCTGTCAATAACAGTTGCAGTGCCACTCAGACCTGTAAATCGCAAAGATCTGACTGAATCACTGCCAGTGCGCCCGTCACCATGAGACAAAGTCGACAAGTCTCATGTGCCTGTAATTTCACCAGCACCCTTACCCTTCAAAACCAGAACAATGCTTGGTGACAGAAATAGGTAAGGTGGCAGTACTTCTTTGGACGAACTCTTTCACAGTTGCAAAGGCACTTAGAGCTTAGAATGCTGCACTCTCCCCAACGGGGCATTAACAAATCATAAGTTACGTAATCGACTCTTTTTGTGGTTCTTCTTCCATCGAAGGTTGGACAACATCATTGCAATCCTGAGTATAGAGACCACCGCTCTAAAGAACGATGTGGTAGCTGCAGCCACCATTTTCTCAAATTTTTTAACAGCGATTTTGCCCTGGATTTTTGCCATTGTTATTATGTAATTGAAATTAAGACATTGACGTGTCTGAGTCAAACATAAATCCCTATAAGCGGTTTTCTTCTTGTTATTTAAGCAAAATCGTTTGCTACGCAAATGTAATTGATTATCATAGCAATAAACATCATAATATCTTTTGTGATGTTTACGTTTACTTTAGTTTTGTTTTACTTTCAATATGTATAACAGAAAGTACTTAGCAAAGTAACGTACACGTACGTAATCTTTATAACAAAACTTTCAATCGCAAGGTCCTGAGGACCAAGAAGCCCATCACACTTAGATATGAGTTGACAACACTAGTCTCGTGCCTGTAATTTCACCAGTACCTTTAATATTTAAAACCGGTGTGGAGAATGCAGTAGTTGTACAATTTAATTTAATTTTGTAATTATTTTAGCAGTTCAGTTTTATATTAAAATTCTAAATTTAAATATACTGTTTTTGGCGCCTTTTTCTTTGTTATTGTCATTGTTTTCTCTGTGTTCGTTCATACCCTTTACTTTGTTGGTTTTAATAAATTATAACTATGTTTCCTTTAGTCTTGCTCACTCTTTACCAGCTCACTCGTTATACCGGCGGACCGGCCCAGCGGTGACCGATGGTCTCAAATCCTTGTGCTCTGATACCCACCGTCAGCAAATATCAGTAAGAAAATAAATAAATATTGAACCGTAATTTAAATTGTGCGATCACACAATATTAAGTGTGTCACATGTGGTCTTATACAAATATGTATTTCGACTGAGTCGCTTTCTAAATATCCTCTCATTCTTATTATAGGTATTGCTCACACAAAAGCAGTACACAGAAGTAAAATTCACGTTACTAAACAAATAAATGGTTAAATATCCTTACAATAAAATATCATTTATATATCACGTTTAAATGTTCGAAAAGTTGAGTCGGCCTAAGTAACGATTAACTTCATATATTATTACAAATTTAGAATAAGTTCATTTTTGTAATTGCCTTATATTTTTTGTAAAAAATAAATAAAATAAAAAGGTATTTATTTATATGTGTGTGTATATTTATATCTAAATAAAGACATTTAAAATTCATTCCATTCACTCTTTATTAGCACCCGAACATCATTGATACAGCCCGTTACAACCGCAACGCAGTAATGCGCATATTATAACTTGGTGGCCAAAATAGGTATGTTGGCTGTACTTCTGTGCACGGACTCTTTCACAAAGAGTTCTACTGCTATTAGTTATACCGTTCCAACTTTTCCCGCTTTTTTCTTATACATCAATCCAGACAGTATTATTGTATTAGTGTCAAGAATATTTACATCGAAAGTATACACTAGATAAGAGAAATTTATCATACCGCATCACAAAACAAGGCCCTTTTGGCTTATAAATATTTCGCAACTACTTTTAATACGCTAAATGCCATTGTTAGATAAATTTTATTACGCGTTATCTATTTTCTCGAGGTACGAGATGTTTGGAAAAACAACAGATGACATATCTAGTATAATAATAGGTCTGACACCGAAAACACCGAGGACAAATGCCTTGGTGTCACAAAACAATGGTCACCTGATTCGATATACCTAAGTGCCATTATGCTTGAAGCATAGTAGTCAGTAATATGGATAAGTATTAATAGTAGATATAAAAGAGGTGGCAACCAGGTTCTTTTGGCTACCTGTACGTACGACTTTAATTTCTAATTTTCGTACATTTGTGAATGTTTTGAAGCCAATACCTCTCGCTGACTGTGAAGGAAAACAATGTTAGGAAACCTGCGTGTTGAAAAAGGCCGACAAACATTTGAAGTCCCCAGTTATCCTCACTTATATAGCGAACGGAGTTGGAGTGGAACCCCCCGCCTGCAGATTTATTCTCTTCTTCTTCTTATCGTGTGGATACTTATTTTATTTTAGAACTATATTGACCCTGAATAAAACGTTGCTACCTTGACAGCGCTGTTCGTGGCCACGTAGAGATCTTCCCTCGTACAGGTATTAGGGCACAAGAGGCACAACAACAGCGTATTTAACCTTTTATGAACAATTACGTGTATTTTTAGGACAAGAAAAACCTTCGAACAGTATGGTTTACACATTTTTCATGAATCTACCTCAACCGAACATACAAATCTCATCAAACATACATTACTACGAACATTCTACATTTACATACATTAGTTACGAGCCCTAACATTGGTCCTGCGAACCGGATTTCAACAGCGACCTATTTAGGTTAAATTATGACATACCCAGTGTACTGTTCGTACAGGATAAATATTCCGATAACGAAATAAACTCATAATAATGTGTCAGACAACCACACCAACTGCCTGGTCTCAAACTAGGGAATTCCTTGTAGTATGACTACCAGAGCAACAGAATTCACTCTAGAGCTCTCCCCAGAACACCAAGACTAGAACCAATTTAGAACAATTAATTTCCCAAATTGGTTTTACAGGGGACCGAACCCAGAACTGGGGTCCAGATTGGGCCGAGTCATTATCGACCAAAGTTACACTAGGAAGAATTTTTAGTTACGATAAAGAGATACCCTGCAGTAAGACCTCCTGTTGCACGAGTATTATACTTTGCATTCCTTTAAATATTTCTATCTTGTTTATTCGTAGGAGTAACAAAGAGTGAACTTTAGTATTATGTTAACATAAAAATAATGGGAGATAACCAAAGCAAAATAAATTCTATGCTAAAAAAAGTGTCTCGTGAAACGTATACAGTATCTACTTTCGAAATAATACGAGCTAATATCACGTAACAGGCAGACACCTATAAAGTTTTCAAGCGATGAGCCAAAGATTATACAGCAAGATAAGGCAACCTTATAATCTACCTGTCTCTTTCTTTCTTACGGTATTAACCCAATCACTTCTTTCTGTCGTGGCGTGACAAACACTCATTGACGTTAGCAAAGCGAGTTAGTGATTGAACAATATCTTAGGGCCGTAAGTGGGCCCATTTTTGCAATGTTTTGACCTGATTTAAGACATCACAATAATAATATGAGAAATGAAAGGCGATTCTCTGAGTCATGGTTCAAAATTGTTTTGGTGAAATTAGAACACTTTCACTAACTATTGTAAGTTGTAATGAATCATGTTCTAATATAATTAACGTTGAGTCATGCATAGCATAGAATATTTTTTAAATTCCGAACATACGTTTTTTACGATTACATGTTTCCGGAGAAGTTTTGCAAGATCTTGTACAACGAATGATGCTTCTACAATAGATGTCGATATTTTATATCTACTTTGCCCTTCAAATTTTAAAATTCCAAAAGTAACGAAAATAAACGAGTGGGTATAGAAAGACAGAATCCGTCGCTTTAACGATGAACAACGCTATCTACAAAATGGTATCACAATAATAGCTAATTCTTTACAGCTAATTATTTAATTTTCTTCCTATTTGTAAAGTTTAACATATTTTTCTATAGTTCTTCGGTATTCTCCTAGTGTTATTCAATCTACGATGGCATCGAATGCCCCGCGTATTGACTGCAACATCCCTGGCAGCGTTGCGTCGTCGGGTTGACGTTACAAATCAGTGTCGCTGAATCAATAGACCCAACTTTTCTTTGAAAAATCGAATTCTCATTCTCCATCTTCCGTGTTATCTTATTTAGTAGCAGTAGCTGTTAAAGAGTTCGTCCATGGAAGTACTGCCACCTTACCTATTTTTGCCGCCAAGTAGTAATGTGAGTATAACTGCATTTCGTTTTTGAAGGGTGTTGGTGGGACACATGGGACTTGTCACCTATATATCATAAGATGACGGGTGCAGTGGTAGTGCCCCTTGTGCCCGGAATACACGAGGCTAGTTTTTCAAGTTAAGACAGCAAGCTAGTGGTACTAAGCTAGGAAACTAGTAACTCTGGCTTCGTATATACAGAACTAGCTTCATTTTTAAGCTAGTACGCTAATGAAGAGAGGACAGTGAGCTTCCGTCTCAAGCTAGGATAGTTTAATGGGATGAGGTTCTATTATATGCACTACTAGCTTCCCCCACCACTGATTTTACTACGTATCCTAT